CTAAATATTTCTTTTGGGCTTTTTCTCATCACATTTATTGTTCTTTAATATACTGTCTCTTTTCTAATATGTCCCTTCATCCAGCAAGAATTATGCTCTATAACAACTCCATTTATATCAAGCAATAACATCTACTTCTTCACCCGAAAGTATGGCCAAGGGTAAGATTAATAGCAATTCAAACCCTTCAAGAGAGCCACAATTTATCACTCATGTTTAGCATCTTCTGCATATCACTTTACAGATGAACCCTCCATTGTAAGTCACAATGCTGAAAAAGTAGCAAAGACCATGATCTAAATGGAATCTTACCATGCTAATATTTGTATCTGTTATCGATCCTTCAATACTCAATGATTTAATCAGCTTATCTTTTATGTTGGGAGGCAAAGACTTAATATCTGCACCATATTTGGATATGTTTTTTCTTAAACAATTAAGGCATCTGAGGAGGAAAAAGTAAAAGTTATTTGTTGATAATATTTTGTAATGGCTGCAGTATTAGATATAAAATCATACTGTCTTACTCAGGAATACACATGGCTTTTTTTATAAGTATAAAAACAAGCATTAAAAAACTATTAGAGTACTTCATTATAGACATGCACAAAGTATAGTAGTCACAAACAGGAATGTGAACAAATGAAATAAAATAATTTTAAACATGTTCTAGTCACAAACATGCTTTGCATGGGTGCTGATTGGATTATAGTGAGATAAATTACATAATTGCTAACTCTGCTCTGAAGACTTTTGAAGATATTCACACATGTATTAGAGATTTCTCAGTGACAGGTGAGATTAGTTTTATATTTTGCAATAAACCAGAAAGAAACATGTGTGAACCAAATGAATAGCAATTCATTCAAAAATCTATGATTAGGCCAAGTATGGTTTATGATGTGTGATCTAAATCAAAGCTATCAGTTTCAATCTCTTATAGGTAGTCATATAGAGTATATTTATTTCTCATTGGTTTAGTGAGAACTCTCAGTGTACCAGTAGTGGTTACTTATTTTACTTAAATATGAGATAAGTTACTTGTGCAAGATAAACCCATGATAACTTGATAATTAAATTATTCTCAAGACTCTTATGTCTCAATTGCTTAATGATAACTCCAGACTTTTTCAGCTTTTGATGTTAGACCAGCTAATCTGTGGTTTCCCAGATCTTCCTTTTAAAAAGGAAGTTCCCTTTTTCTTTTAAAAAGAAAGTTCCCCCATCTGACAATTTTTTTTAGGCTTTTGCAAAAATAATAATGTTTGGCAAACTCTTTTGAGTATCCCAGTTTTCCTAAGAGAAAATTTGATGGTGGAGAGGGAGGAAATCTCTGAGATGGAGGACACAGGTATGTACAAAAATGATGCTACCTGGATGCATCTTGCAGATTTTGACACCCTCCCCAAATCCTAGGATGCAGTTAATCCAATCCTGGGGATTTAAATTAATCCATCACTCTTCATCCTGCTTCTCAGAAATACTTGTTGGAATACAAACTCTGTGCTAGGGCCACAGCCAGAAGAGGAATTGAATTAAAACCTTCGCTTTTGTTGTAGAAAGTGACGAGACACAAGCCAGCACTTTAGAGAAGGAAAAATTTATTTGCACAGGTTCAAAGCAAAGAGTAAATGGCCTGAACCCCGAGTGGGATTCAGGGACTTCCTTATATAGTGATGATGACGCGCTCACCCTATCTAGCCATAAGCCATCTGTTAGTTTTGGAAACACTTCTCTGTAGTAGAATTAAGAGACAATCAAGCCAAGCGATGCAATATAGGAAAAGTTTATTGAATGCGCAGGTTCAAACATGCCAAACAAGCACAAAGGTTTGAACCCCGAAAGGTTCTCAAAGACATACATTTATAGTGCAAATTACGTAAACATCTGTAGAGGCAGTATCTAAGCATATAAGGTAATAAGAGGAACCAAAAATGTCTATGCCAGATGGCCAACAGTTACTATTCCAAATATATACATGGTCAGCACATTATAGATCATGTGTGACATATAGGGAGGGTTAGGGAAGCAAAACAAGAAACATCTTGCAGGATGGCAGGAAACTCCCTGTCTGGGTCTGCTTGTTCCCGGATGCATAAAAATACTTACTGACACTTCAGCAACTGTTTTCTGCTAATGGTGCAAAACCTCAACTTTGATCAGAGTATTTGATATTAAATATGTACTATAGAACTTTTGGCCATAATTAGGTCTATCAGACTACCTTAAG